GTCACTCTATGTGGACAACTTAAGACTTGCTTCTGGATGACAATTGGATTATGTACACCATATCGTTTATCTTTTTGATTTCCAAGAGATTTTTGCCATGGTCTTTGCAATTTGGGACATAAACCTTTCCGACTTTGGGGTTGGTAGAGCCACACATATCGACTTTTTGTTAAGTCTCATCTTCATCCTGTCGCTGAAAGGCTGCAATTTGGATCTGGCCAATTTGTGTATAATTTCCAGTCTCTCTTTCAGGTCATTCACATACTCTGTATTCAGGTCATTCAAATACTCTGTATGTGAATGACCTTCGGTATGTCAATGGAAACAGAGGAACCAATTTGCTTTTGAAGACAAACATCGAGATGTAGTTATTTATGGTGCGATTATGCCTTTAGACTATTCATCGTGAAAAGCAGTTGCTCTTTTCTTCTTTATTCCCAACAAAATCAACATTTCCTTCCATGAATCCGATTCGAAGTTGCTGCCCTGATCCGAGTGTAATTCCTGATGTACTCCTTGACTGGCAATTACGTTCTGCAACAGAGCTTCTGCCACGTTTCAACCTCTTGATTGGGCGAAGCTACTACTTCAGGTCATTTGGAGAAGTAGTCCATCACAACCATTATGTAGGCACCTGAAGTTTAGTATCTGATATGGTGGTGGACAGACGTACCGATAACGACTGTTCCACAAAGAAGGTACGCGTACGCCATTGTTGGAGATGGAACTCAGTTGGTGTTGTGACTGTCCGCCGTTTTGAACGTGCCAACATCACATTGAATATAAAGAGCATTGTTAAACTTACGAGTTTTTTAAGTGTTTCAAGCGAAATAGCACCCTCATTCACTTCGGTTGAAGGCCGGGGTGGACCAGATGTTCACGTGGGAGTGCTAATGTGGAATTACATAACAAATACCCCCATTCACGCCGGTTGGAGGCCGGGTGGACTGGATGTCCACGTGGATGTAGAATTGCTACAGCGTGTATGTCCGCCGTCGGAAGAGGTGCAAGCAATTTAAAAAAAAAGGTATAGAATTAAAAATGGACAAAGGAAACAATAATGAGTATAGTATTAGGAAAAAAAGACTCCTGGACTGACGAAATTGTCATTGCGTAATAGCAGTGCTGGTCATAATAGTGCCGTAGAAGCTGGTATCAATAAGCTAGTGAAAGAAAAAGAACCATCTTGTACTTGTTACCTTGTGAATTTTCAGCTGTGATGAAGATATCGAACGACTAATAAAGTGGATGACTTCATGTGTCTCACTAAACCAGCTTCAAGTACCAAAATCGTACTGGCTCGAAATAATGCTAACGTCAGAATCTAGAAGGAGGGGTAAATAAAGTCCTGTTCACTTACAACAATATAGTCATTTCTTTCTATCGCGATTCTAATGTTACTAAAAGCAACGGATAATATGATATACCTTCTGTTTCATGTGCTCCAACATTTTTATTGTGTACTGAAAGTGAAGTGGATCAAAATTCTTCATTGAAATAGGAAACCTAATATACATATAAAAATGTTTCCAAATCATATCTTGTCATCTTGGCAAGATCCTGGTCGGGAAGGATAGCTTGTAATATCCTCCAAAACACGTTGGACGTTGTACCTGTTGGTGCCTGAAGAAGCAGATGTCTGTCAACCCCAGCAAAACTGTGATAAGCCCCTTCACTAACAGGAGAAAACTGGACGATCTAACGCCACTTTCCCTCAATGGTGATGTCATTCCATTTGGAACGGAGGTGAAATATCTTGGCATTGTCCTTGATAAAATAACCTCGAACGCTAAAGTTTTACACAAAGCCAGACTGTCCCTATGGACATGTCGAAGGATTTAATCTAAAATGGCATTTCTTATACTGGCATTA